AAATTTGGTAACGTTTAAAATTTTGGTTCTCGTAAGATTTTTGTCGCGTACTTACACTGGAATGAAAGTGATACAATGCTAAGGAGCCTGACACTTTGGCAGATTTGTTTCAACTTTGTGCGATAATCCGCGAGTTTCTTGAAAGAATCCATCAAGAGCGGTTTTCTGCAGGTCTGTCTGGCTGCCGAAATGCAAGAGGAGGCAGGGGAGGCCTTCAGCACCGGCCTGACTTATTCGTGTCCTTGGGAGGCGTGGCAGCCCGCTGAGCGACGTCATTTCAACCTACTACTGGCTTTGACACAAAAGCCAAGTCAGGTCAGCACGTCACGCAGTGGGTCAGAAAACAGATGGATGCTGTGATAATCCCACAATCCCCATATGGGCGCCATTGTCGCCCACTCTAGTTCTTCGGGTGCCAAATGTCGCCCAGTTTCTGGGCACCTTGGCCGCCTACCGGTCCCCAAATCATTCAGCAACTGGCCTCCTTCTTTTATACCATGTATGATTCATTTGCCATGGATGGTCCAAGAGAGCACACAAGTTTGTGGGCGCCTTTCTCGGCCACAAACTTGACACCATGGATCCCCAGGGACTGGACTGTGCATGCATAGGCCCCAGCAGAACCAGTGCCACAGCTACATGTAAAGGAGCTGGCTGCCCTTGCTGCCCAGGAACTGGGCGGCTTGGTCGCCTTTGGCAAGCGGAGTTCAACATACCTCTGACGGAGTTGACAATGCAGAGGCAGGAGTGAAGTTGGTGGTCCGGGTGCAGATTAATGTGGTCTCATCCTTTTAAAATTAAATTGACATGATCCCAATGGCTGTTCCTTGATAAGAGATGCACTGGAGTCCAAAAGACAGGGCCAATGAACAGCAGATATATTGGCACATTCTTTCTTGACTGTATAGTGACCACAAGAACACACGCAGGAACAGAAGATGTAAACACTGCAAAAAATTCCGTGGTTTGGCACGGAAAATGTACGGAAAACATGGGGTACAGACGGGTACGGAAAAGGTACGGACCTTCTGTACTGGTTCTCAGTGGTCCCCATAAGGATCTCATGTAAGCGGGTACAGAAAACATGTACAGAACCCCCGTGGTTGGCAAGGTACGGACGGTCCAGGTAAAAAATTGACCAGACATGCTCCGCGTAATTTCTGTACGTTTTTCTATCAGTGAACGGCGCAGACTCGGCTTGACAAGATTGCAAAACGCCTAGTTCTACCCCGCCCTGACCCTCGCCTGAAAGTTGCAGTTGTGTTGCAGGTGCGGTTCCAGTACTTCGGGGCTATGCGGCTCGACACCTTGTCGAAAATTGCAAACGCCGTGTTCAAGTACGCTCAGGTTTTACGAGCGAGCCTTGGAGACCAAGCAGTGGAGGCGCAGACCCTTATGTAGCGAGTCAATGATTACGTCTAATTTAGGGTTCTGTGACCCAACAACGCAGAATTTAACATGTGTCATTCGATCAGTCGTGAGACTCGCAAACTCGATTTTATTGTAAAAATTTGAAGTAAAAGTATTGCAAAATGACTACCCTGCATTTATTTGAAGTGGGCCCTTTCCTTCGCCCGTTTAGTGCATAATCTTGAATTTAAGGAATGGATCCCGTCACAAACTGTGAGAGAACTCGTGTATTAAGGTTCAAGTGAGGGGCTCCAACTCGCAGTCTTGTGTAGGTTCTCCCAAAGTGAGGACCTCTTGTGGTGGCATCGGCCAACGAACGAATAGGGCACTCAGGCGCCGGTACACTGGTAATAAAAATAAAGCGTAGAACTTCGCTTCAAGACTTTACGCCCTTCTTGAAGCGTACAACTAAGCTTCAATATAATTCCACGCATGCATTTAGGTAGATACGAGGAAAGGGGTGCATGTGCTGTTGAACGCTTCAAGAAGGGCACACGGACTGTACGAAGAGGCGGCAGTTTCAAGAAAGTGCACAACTTCCAGGGCGATGCGACAAGGCACAGAAGCGACAGTCCTCAGCAAAGAGTCCGGCGGTGCTGCGTCCAACTATAGCCTCTCCCAGGCACAAAAGCGAGAAATAAATCCTGCAGGCAGTTTGGTCCAAGCGGCCCGAAGCGCCGATGATGGTCAGTGTTTCGAGAACTTGCGCAGAGGAAGACTCAGCTAGAGCCAGTAGCGGGGCTAAGGGGTTCTCGAGGGGCAAGTAGAAAGATAGACGGCGCACACGCGATGCTCTGAAGGAAGCTTAGCGCACCTGCACCCTCAGATTCTTATGATGAGAGGGCCATCGTAACATACGTTGAAATGAGAACATACGTACTACAATCAAATACATGCGTAATACGATCAAATTCATGCGTAATACGATGATGTACATGCGTAAGGGAAGGTGGGGACCCATGTATCACGGGGTCCCATGTATCATGGCGTATTAAATTTTAGTTTCGCCCGCGAGGCGAGTCACGTGGTGCGGAATCGAAACACCATCTAGAGAGCTTCATTTTATGGAAGGATGTGACCTTGCATCTCCAACAAACATGGCGGCGTGACTAAGTGAAAATTTTGGTCCCCAAACCTGAGGGAAAGTAAAAAAGAAATTTCTTCAAATATCTTTCATCAGCTTCCTGCTATGGAACATTGTCGCAATTTTTTGATGTAGGAGTGTGCGGAAGGGCTTTGACAACAATTAGCAGTGCCGAACAGCAACATCCGAGCATAGGTTCTGGCAGTACACCGCAATGTCCAATGCTCCGACAAGTGGGGACCGATGTATCACATTTTTTGGGGTCCCATGTATCACTCAAATTTCATGTTGGGGGGCAATTAATCACGGAAATTTTCCTGTTTTAATGCCTGTGCTGTAATTACTGCAATTTTATAATGGAGTGACAGGCGACAGGTGTTACAGTTTAGTTACATTTTGCCAATACACAAATACCAAAAATATAGTGATACATGGGTCCCCACCTGTGATACATGGGTCCCCACTTCAGATACATGAATCTTCACCTTCTCTCTTTGACCTCAACTTACCTAAGGAATGGTCTAACTCGGTCAAACTTATAAACATATTGTAGAAATTAATGCTGCAAGGAAATGTTGCATAATTTGTCCTTTTTTAACAGTTATTTTTGAAGAAAATAGCTGTGATACATGGGTCCCCATGGGTGATACATGGGACCCCAGGTATGGGGTCCGATGTATCAAATACATGAATTTAGTAGATTGCGCTCCTATCCAAAACCAGATGAGATACATGAACAAATTCAGTTGGCCCTTGTAGAAGGTAGATTAACTCATGCTTCTGACCCAAAACATTTGATTTATGCCCAAAACCAAAATTTTGACACTCAAAACATAAAAAAGTGATACATGGGTCCCCACCTTCCCTTAATACGATGAAATTCATGCGTAATACGATGAAAAATTATGCATATTACGTATGTGCAAATTTATGCGTACCTTACGATGAAAAACCATCGTAATACGCATAAAAACGAGCATAAGAAGTTGAGTGTGTGCGGACAAGTCCTGGGGGAACAGCGGGTCAGCCGGTGTCAGCTAACTCAATCACTATGAAAATCTATCGGCGTCACTTCTTGCCGCTGCAGGGGAGTGAATTACGTGCCACGCTAAAAAACGGCATGACCACTGTTATTCCACTTGCGATAGAGACCGCACTTTCTGCGTTATAAAAATTTCATCGCACTTTTCTGAGATGCCGCTGCAGGGGAGTGAATCAAGTGCCACGCTAAAAAACGGCATGACCACTGTTATTCCACTTGCGATACAGACCGCACTTTCTGCGTTATACAAATTTCATCGCACTTCTCTGAGATGATAATTGCAAAAAGGTGTGATGAGCTACAGTATCGCAGGATCTGGCGGCAATGATCATTGTAAATACAGTCAGCTCTGGTTAGCTGTCCCGACAACCGGGAGGCGCCGAGGACAGCTAACCAGAGGCCGGGCAGGTAGGCCCGGCCGACCCGTGACCGGGGATAGCCGGTAATCCCTCGCCGGCCGGTGGTGGTGGGGATGTCTCTGGGACATCTAACCAGGGGCCAACTCGGGACAGTTAACCAGAGCTGACTGTAACTGTTATGATTGCAGCTTTTGTGATGTCATCATTGCAATTTTTTGCAATAATTCCGATTCTCATTGCAGAAAGTTGCTATGATCATTGCAGAATTTTGTGCGATACAGAAGTCATTGCATCTCAAGAGCAATGATTCGTGGGAACCGCATTTTGGATATCGTCGCACGTTTTGGTATTGAAAGTATCGCAACTTGAATAACAATGACAGGAGAGTCATGCCAAAATTCGGCGTGACTCAGAAATTTACGCCATTTTTGGCGTTAATTTCCTATCATGCGGTTTTAGCACGACTTTTCTCATAAAACACATTGTACGCACTAATCCACATGGCCATGCGTCCGACCTGTCAATTTTCAGTGAAGAGTCCACTTGCCGTGACTGCCATGCCCTCAACCCGCCCTCAACTTTGAAAATCTCTCTGTAGGAGCACTGAGAAAACCTTACAAACTATTTCAGGCCTTACAAAAAAAGCAGCTTTGTTGCAAGCTTAACAAAGTATTTAGAGCATACATAACCTTAGAAAGAAAATACTTACTAATTTACGAGTTAGTTTTTCGTATAACAATGTTAATTTGTTTGCTCAGAATACTTCGTAAGTTTGAAGCGTGAGAGATAAACTTATCAAGGTTTAGTAGCCCCATCAACATTACTAAGTCAGCTTGAAAGAAGCACTTCAGCACTGATATCCAAGTTGCGATACTATCAACTCAAAAACATGTGATGATATCCAAAAATGTGATTCACTCGAATCATTGCTCCTCAGATTCAGTGAAGTTTGTATCGCAAAATTCTGTAATGTTTATCGCCCATTTCTGCCATTGCCTTAAGGGGGGACCATTATCATCATCATCATCAGCGCTGTTAGGCCTATGCAGACCTTTAGCGGCCCTGGTGAAAAATCGCCAAAATTCAAAAAATAGTATTTTCAAATTCATAGCTAAAAAAGTGCATAGAAGGTTTCAGATTCAACAGGTTGAACCCTTTAAGCTAAGTGGGTAGTTTCTTAATCATTTGGAAGGAAATGACATTGAGATCAGTTGTCGTTGGCTTCTACGCTCAACTTCACAGCTTTTTTCAGTCGACAAAAAAATTTTTTCATAGAAAGACTTTCTGCGTTCCTGGGTTTACACCTACATGAGCCGTCTTGAATGGACTCTATTCATTGATGACTTATCGACAAATTTTAGTGATGGAATCCTGATATCAGCCCTACTTTTTTTTTAAACACACCTAAAAGTTTGAAAAAAAGGGGGAAAAAAAACACTTTTTAAATGTTTAAAAATTTTAAAACTCATATCTCAGGACAGAAGTTGAATTTGAAAATTCCGTCACTAAAATCTCTTCTATACATCTTTAGGATAACCCCAAAAAAAAATTTTAAGACTTTCCGTCCCAATGAAAGACGCAGGAAGATTTTTCCCCAACGCTCTAAAAACACTAAAAAGCCACTTTTTCAGAGGGCCGTTCAACATTTTGGATTGAATTTTGTTTTGGGAACTCACCATAATGAACCTAATAATTAAGCAAAGTTTCAACTTTCTGGATTATTTTGAAGCCTACTTGAAAGTTTCACCAGGGTCCCCCCCTTTAAAAATCAGAACTATTGCAAAAAAAAAAAAAAAACCCGCGATGACAACACTAATTTACATTCAATACAATTTTGAGCAATCATCATTGCAAAATTCTGCGATACAGCAGCTCATCACATCTGTTTTTCAATGATCATCACAGAAAAGTGCAATGAAATTTGAATTTCGCAGAGAGGTCTGTCTCCAAGTGGAATAACGTGATGTTTACTCTGCAAACTGAAGTGTGTACATAGTACACTCTTAAGAGCACCTCCAAGTA